GAGTTACTTAAATAGTTATAAAAGTGACGAATTCTGATAAAATGACTTTTAATAAAAAAAGCTGTAGCTTTTTATACTTATTTTCTTTTTTGTTGTTGAGGGGATTAAGAAATTTTACACTGAGAAAACTAGTATGGTCAAAACTACCTGAATATAGTAAAGTTTACCATGTTTTTGTCTCTATGGGAACAACAAAAATCTCAGTAAATATTAGCCGGTGTTTCGGTAATGATTTGATAAAATTAACAAGAAAATATGGTTTTATAATAGGCGATAAAATTTTGTAATTGTGGTAAAATTAGGTAAGTTCATCCTAATACCTAAGAGAACGGCACAAAAACCATTTACTTGGTTAAATTTACTTTTCAGTTATACATGTTTTACTCAATGTGTGGTAACAAGGACTATAATTTTGAAAACCAAAAATAAAACGATACCATATGAACGGAAAAATTGCCAAATGAATGGTTTAAATACTGTATATTTAAGTTTTTAATACCATAGTCATGCTCTTTTTACCAGAAATGTTATTACCATACAGTACGGTAATTTTACCAGAATCTTTTCTTTCATGTAGATATATATGAATAGATAATTATAGTTAAAACAATAAATTTGCTAAAAAAGCCAACAAAAAAAATATATGGAGTAAAAAATTTCAATAATTTCTCACATATGTCAAGTATTTCTCACATACTATGAATTTTAGTATTATTGATGGTACAATGTACATTTTTGCACTGTCTTTTTTGCTTTTGATGGTACAATTTTATCAAAATTGTAACAAACAGCATAAAAATAATGTCTTAATGGATCTTCACTTCAACCACAAGTAGTTTTTCACTTATTTTTCATTGCATGTTGTTCAACAAAATTTGCTCTTCCAAACAACTAATTAGTGACTACAACAAGCATAAATGCGTTATTTCTAATATTGCTTAAGGTAAAAATAAGGGATAAGTAGCTAAAAGTTAACAAGTTCTATCGAGAAAATAGTTTGAATAAATTATAAGATACAAAGCAAATTAGTCCAAAGACACACTTCTAAAAGGTTTTAAAATGCAAATTCCAAAAATTATACTGTACAAAGTGTGATAGTTTACAATTTTTTAGACATGAGATTTCTATTTATTTTTTATAGAATGCAAAACTATTTAAAATCGTTATATACAGGATCAATTTTTTTTTTCCATTTATCACTAACATCCAACATTGCTTTGTTTTCTTTAATTCTGTTTAAAAGAAGATTAATAAACTACACAATGGAAATATGATTAGAAAGTTTCATTTAATTTGATTATATTTATAATTAATGATGAGTTTATAACCTGTTTATAAACCTGTTTTGCCCAGTAGACAAATGTACTAGTTTGATTTCAGAAAATATCATACTCTAGTTTACATGCAGAGTATCTAAAATAACAAATGCTACTTGATAGCACCTCTTAAAATAACATCTAGTGGCTGATCTCAAAGTTAGATTTTCAATCTCATTAACAGTTAGTTAAAAAGTCCTATCACTAAGTTGTAGAATATCTTCGACTTAGCATATTAAGACACAGTGGTAATATTCAATGTTCAATGGCATAGCTAAAGTGACCATTTTTGCAGTAATTTTAAGTATTTCAATATATCTATCTCTATATATAATAGTGGAATTTCATTATTTTCTGGCAATATTTTACTTGCCAATAGTTTACTTTGCTTGCCAATAGTATAAATAGTGTTCTTTGTCATATCTGTATGTAAAAATTAATCATGCCTGCCAAAATAAGCACTATTTTAGCTCAGTAAAATTAAGAATACATAGTTGGTTCCTTAAAATCAATAAAAAAAATTTTTTTACCCAATTTTATAATTGTGCAGTGTTAAGGATAATGTAGATTGATGTACAATTCAATAGATAATGAAGCATCATGATTATAACCTAACATATTATTGGTAATACAATATATTGGTGAAATAATGTAGTAATTTAACTGTCATAACTATAACTGACATATATCATATCGTAATCATAACTGACCAATAAAAAAAACTTTATTTGATTTCAACGTTACATAAAATGGTATGGATCTATTAAAAATGTATAAAAAGTAAAAAAAAATGAAAGTATATCTTATTTTAACGAATTGTTTTATTTAATATGAATAATATTTCTTGTAGCGTTATGTTTCTTTTTTTTTGAGACTTTAGAAAATAAATTACGATTATCAAATTTGAACTTGATTCAAAAAGAAAATTGAACTCATATAAATAAAATACTCTTAAAATCTTATTATTTTTCTAAAAAAAAATTCTTCTATTCAGTTGTTTAATTCAGGAATTATAAGCGTGGACATTTTGGTTTTTTTTTTCATTATTACGAATAGGACAGAAAAATCAGATCAGAATTTCTGGGTTGAAGAGTTAATTTTCTGAAATATTAAAATTATTGTTATTTTAAAATTTTAAGTTGTAGCTATCTCTTTTTATAGAACACATTAAAGTTATTATTCTTTTAGCAATTTCAAGTGATTATAGAGTAAAGAGATTTATAAATTTCTCTAATCTTTTAATACATCCAAATTGAAGTTATTAATTTTTTTACTAAACAAATACTCGCTATAATTTAGTGAAGACATTTACAGTTGTTCTGATGCTTAGCACACACACATTATTCACAATTTCTAAGGCATTAAATTACAGTCTAATTTAGATTTATCGTTTAGTACGTTTCGTGGTGACATTTTTAATGGCAAAATAAAAATAAAAGAATATTCTGAAAACATCCGCTAGTTGTTTATTTAAGAACATATTTTAAGTCAGACACGGATGACGTTTCTTAGCTCAGATTTAGTGTGGAATGCGTTGGGGTGAGATATCCTCCCACGCCTTTGCGGAAGAAAAAAACTAAGTTCCGAATGAGGCCTCCAACAACAAGATATGATGCTAAATTTTTATACGTAAAGAATTTTTCCTGACTGAATTTCAGAATTCTTTTTAAGAAAATGAATTTATTTATAATTATTTTAAGTTAAATCCAATTCCTTTCGTTCTGATAAAAATGTTTAAACAGCAATATCTGGTTTGACGCAAGATGTTTAACACCTTACATGATTAACACAAAATCGAAGTAATTTTGATTCCTTTTATGAAAATATTTATCATAAAACTTTTAGTTGATTTTTCCAGTATTCAAATTCTTAAAGTTCACAGTCACATGTTAAGCCAAACCTTTTGAACACGATGATAAAAATTCATATTTAATTTTTGTTGTTGTTTCTAACTCCACTTGCCAATATCCGCAAGTTTGCTTGGTGAAACCAAGCAAATTTAAGGCAGAGAGTGAGTTTCTAGTTTTTCAGGGGTGCCATGAATTGCAAAGAATAAGACTTCAGTCTCACATGTCACAGCTCGTTTATAGGGCGGACTCATTCATACATCCACAGATTGTAATTTTGTCATGATCTAGAAACCCCCAGAGGTATTGATTTGTTGTGAGAACATGAAGGACTTTGTGACCCTACTGTTTTAAAGTGCAGCAGTCATCATTTTATACATGGGGAGTCTTCGGCCGGCGGATGTCGAACTCACGACCTGTTGGACATGGGGCCCAAAGCCCTACCAGCCAGGCTATCCCGGCCTCTATTTAATTTTTGTCTTCATCAAATTCTCACTTTTCTTTTAGCCATATATAATTATTCTATAGCCTTATATTATTTTTATAGCCAAAATTAAAAAAAATTTATAATTAATTATAATATATAGCAAAATTAATATTAATTAATTTTGCTATATATTAGGTTCTCAAAATATGCCGAAGTCAAAAACTAAAGCTGGATTTTTCTTATTGTGTTTGGAAAAAATATTCAAAAATTTCATCATGAACCTTTCAGATGTATTTTTTTTTCTTCCAAAAACGATAATAAAAATCTAACGTTAACTTTTGACTTTGGCATATTTTGAGAACCTAATAGCTAAATTAACTATAGAAAAAATATATTTTGAGAACCCAATATATAACCTATAACTAAAAATTCTCCTCAACAGTATATACGGTAGCATATACAAATTTTTGTCAACATTTGTATTTATTGATCCCTATTTCTCCGTTAAATACTCTTTAGTTCCTTATTTTTTGCCTCTATCAGGATTTTTTTATGGGCTCTTTTCGTTTTTATCCCTGACACATATTAATATTAGTTTTAAATTTTATGAAACCGTTATTCTTTTGAAAATGAAAATTTTTATACAGTATAACAAGATTATGCTCATTTTGTTTTAATAAAGAGTGAACGGCTTTACATTGAAATTTAGACTATTGTACTGGATTAAACTCTATTCTATAGGCTCCATTAATAGTAATAGTTTTTTAAAAAATTGAATATACGTATTTAACTTTTCTTTGAAGATCTTTTAGGCTATTTATTTATTCCATGAAAAATAACTTTTCAAAACTTTTGTGACTCTAACAAGATATTGAAATTCGAGTACATACTTACTATTCAAATATTCTCTTTCCAAAGATTTTGTGATTGCAAGATTCCATACTAAGCACTCACATATTCTTTTATCAAAAATTTTCTAATTGCAAGAAGATATTGAAATTCGAGTCTATACTTAGTATTCAAATATTCTCTTTTCAAAAATTTTGCAATTGCAAGAAGATATTGAGATGCGAGTCACTACTTTGTACTCAAATGTTTTAATACTTTGAGTCAACGGCTTTTAATAGAAACAAGGACTAACTTCTAGTACATAGATTTGCCTATCATTCTGAAAATCCTATAATCAAAATATTTGTTGTAGAAAAGGAATAGATACATTTAACTATTCTTTCAAGATCTTCGAAATTACTTCTTTATACCAAGCATTTTGTTTAAAAATTAGTAATTATCAAAAAAGTTTGAAATTCTAAGAAATTTTGAATCCACAAATACTACCATACTTTGTACAGCAAAAAATTAATAATGCAAAGGGATTAATTAGGTTAGGAAAATAAGGAAAATTGGGCGTACATTCATGATACTCACGACAGCAGGAGTGAGTTGTGCGGTCGGTGGCTGCAGCAATGGCTGTAATGGCAATTGCTGCATTATGGCATTTTTTAGTGCCAAATGGTTCCTTCCATTGATCAATAGTTGGTCCTTTAAATGTTGAGGAGGATGGAAGTACTTGCATGGTGGCTTCTCCCGATTGCAACGACCCTACAAAAAATAAATAAATATTAATTATAATATATATTAATAATTTATTTTAAAAGTAAGAAGAGTCGTTTCAATATAATAAACAATTTATTTTTCTAATTAGGAAATAATATATATATATATATATATATCGTTCATGGGCAACAGTAGCGGTACAACTCAAAAAATCAAGTTTTGAGATAAGTGGGTTTAAAGTTTTCATTGCTAAGGAAAATGCATAAGAAATGCTTCAGTTTGCTTAAACGATGATTANAGATTATCTTCAAGTTGAATTATGAGTTGTACTAGTACTGCTGCTGAAAGAATGTGTATTTTCATATTTACACCTGCTCTTAGTTCAAAACGCGTTTATTTTTAATTGTGCCACTATTGCAGCCCATGAGCGATATATATATATATATATATATATGGACAAAATTGATTTGTTTAGCTTTGGTTGAGAAATTTGGCTCAAATTAAGAAATTTCTGTCATTTTTGTTAGATGTGCTAAGATAAATATGCAGTTGGAAGTGTCGCTTTTAAGATACTTAAAATTTTGTTTCTCAAATAAGAGAAATTCAGCTTAAAATATACTTAACGCATGCAATACATGTAATAAAATTTCAGATTTATGAAGATATTTGGAGATTTTTTGCTCAAAACAATCGAATTTTTATCATAATTTTAAAAGTGTACCTTTTAGCTTTTTAAAATGCAAATATCAAAGTTTCCGATTAAAGAGTCTTATATTAAAGCAACTTTTTACAGCTAAAAGTGTTTTTTGTCTGAGAACTTAACAATGTATTCAAGGTAAAATTTGCAGCTTTTGATAATTTATATGCTACTTTAAAATTATTTTGAATAACTATCTTGACAAATGATTTTAAATATTACCTGAAATACCGTTTGTAAAATCATAACCTGAAATACTGTTTGTAAAAATTTCAACCCGATCGGGAAGTATCATTTCGGATGTCATATTTGTAAGATATAAACAAAAGCAGGAGATTTTTTGATGTAACTTCATTGGTAACGAAGTTAGCTTTAATCTATAAAACCTTCCTCGTATGTGAACATTGAGAAGCAGAAAGCAAATCGATCTAAGTATGCTTTGTAATATATCTAATAAGTATTCCTATGGATATATGCATACTTATTTCAAATATGTAATTATTACTCTTTCTCGTGGTTTTTAATTGGTGAAATCAAAACTGCTTTTGGGAAGACAGTTTATAAATGTAAACTAGTGCCGTTCCATATATTGTACGAAAATAATGAAAATCCACGATAAATAGAAATATTTTCTAATTTTAACTAAATTGCATTAATTTGACATCAATCAATGTTCTCATTACCAAAATAAAACAAGTATTTTTAGCGAAAATTGTATTATTACCAATGTAGAAAATATTATATTTGATAGTTATCGATATCGACAATACTTGCGATATTTTAATGTACCCGATATTCAGAGCGTTTTCAATAAATATTTTATACTTATTGAAAAGCATAGTTATCATGATATACCGTTGGAGTATTTATAAAAATATCGTTATAGCGATTAATGATATCGCGATGTTGACGCTATTTCACCCAGTTCTAGTGTTCATTTGAAGAGCTCCGTCATTTTTTCATCACCGAATGGTAATTCAAATTGGAGAAAAGGCTATTTATTTTTTACAAATTTCTTAGAAAATTGCGAATCAATTATGATGTGGTTTTATTAATTAAACATTTTATGTTTCCCCCAAAAAATTACTTCATGTTAAAGATCTTTGAATTGTACTATCGATATAGTTAAACCAAATACACAAATAAATCAGAATAATTTCCAAGTTATCAATTGGGCACCAAAACGTTTCACAACTTGAATATAGAGTGCTATTTATTCCTTTTCTCATTTTTTTTATAATACTTAATCAAATGATAGAAAGGTCATCAAAGAGTTTCGTTTTTTATATCAATTTTAAGTAGATTCAATTTGTTTTAATGAAATACTTGAATATTATTTTTCAAACTATTTTGAGTTCTTGTATTTACAATTATTAAATTAAGTTTAATAAACATAAATATTTTAAGCATTTAAATGTACTTAAAATTAAAAACAATTCGGATATATTTATAGTCATACAAAATTAGGCACAGCTTGACAAAAAAAATTCAAAGTAAATCAAAAATAAATTTATTAATTAATAATCAGATATCTTTAGAGGAACAATAAATGAATGAAACAAAAGTAAAACATTTTAAAAGATAACACCAGTTAGTAAATACTATTTAATATTGGCTTGGGAAACCATTTCCCAAGCCATTGGAAACCAAGCCATTTGGGAAACATTTCCTTATTTCATTTAATTTAAACTATTCCCAAACTTAGAAAAAATGAAGAAATAAACCAAGCAATAAGTAAAACAATTTTTTGATAAAACCAGAATAAATTACAGAAAACTGGTAGTTTAATTGATAAATTCATAACATGACAGACAGCGACAAAATTATTTTTAATAAAAATTGCAAATTTCCATTATTAAATTCATCATAGATCATTTTATTTGGAACAAAAAAATAAATCCATTTTTGGTTTGACGATCCTACACCTTAAAAGCGTAACTTAATTCGAGATTTCTGGTTTTGTGGAGTTGACGCTTTTCTATTCTCTGTTGTCATGGTGATATGGAACAGGAGGCTCATGAGAAGTTCAAGGAATGGAGATCTCTAGATATCTACACCCCAACCATCCTCTTTTCCCATTGAGGGACCATCTCGGGGGAGAGTGAGGAACGGATTCCAGAGGAAGGGTAGATATTGCGTTTCTCCTTCAACAAAAGGGACTGGTTCCATACTCTTCCCCCATCCTTTTATTCTAGAATCGAAAAAAAAAGGGAATGACTGAAAAGCGAAAATTTTGAAGGATTGGAATAAGTGGGAGTTTGGATGAGGTTTATATAATCTTCACATCTGCCAAAGACAAGTGTCCGCTTAAAATTCTCTTAATTTTCGAAAGAAAAGGAAGACGAATGGAGGGTTAGAGAAGTTTTTCGATGAAAGAGATAGCCTATTGATGAATTAATTTAATCCAGGAATTGTTTTAAATCACAAAGTTGCATATCGTATTAGCACTTCATTTTTTTTCTTCTAAAGATAAGCGCCCACTCTCCAATTTCTTTTAATTTTGATGACATATGAGTGCAGGATTCTAAGATTTCTTTGATGAAATAAAAAGATAACTTAGACAATAATTGAGTATAGAGTTTTTGTTTAATATTGAAAAACCACGCGTCGTACATAAAACACGACCCACAGTACGAGAATTATAATCCTATAATGGCTAATTTGATCTTATGAGATATATCAAATAACAAAAATCCGTTCAAATTTCTTTTAATTTAGACGAGTTCGATGCAAAAAATAAAAAACATATCCTATTAAGAAAATATTTTACATAAATAGTGTTTTAAATTGAAAAGATGCGCAGCATATAAAGTTTTATTATTCTAAGATGTAGAAAAATTAAACAACTACTGTATTCAAATTGATAAAAATTTTCTCCGTATTCTCTTTTCTTATAGTTTTAAGTATGATTCAGCGGAAAAAAATGCTCCAGGTATTTATTTTGATATCTATTTGACGAAAGATTGTTGTATTAATTAGATAATAACATATTTAGATAATAACATATTGATAACATATTAACATTACATAATACATAATACATCATCCATAAATACAGAGTCTTTCGTAGTTGGCGCCCTTAATATACGTATTCAAAATAATCTTTATTAAAAATAAAAAGGGGAAAGTACACACATTTAGGGACTTAAATGAATGTTAAAGTCAGGAAAAAGGTAAAAATGCTATTGAAGCTATTGAAAATGCTATTGAATTACTTTTGAGAAAGAAACATAAGAGCTGAAGGACGAATTAGAAGAACAGTGAGCAAAAAATAGCTTCTGAGAAATCGAATTTCAAAAATACGACTATTCCGAATTTTTTTTTTTTAATTATTTTTTTAAAGTTTTCGAGACACGACGAAATACGCAAGAAATTGAAATTAATGGAAAGGGGTTCAAACTTTGGACCGCTCTTTTGACCAAACTATTGGGACCATATTTTCCAGATTGCCGCTTACCCATATATTTTGGTGGTCAGAAATCCCATCCCATTGAAAAAAAGTTTATTCAGATAAAGTACATTTTTGTGTCATATTCCGTAACTTAAATTATTGTCGGCAATAATAAACTAGCAAACTTGAGGTCATCCCCTTGAACCATCAAGATTGAGTCCGAGAACGTGAAGATCCGATTATTAAACTAAAAGTTATTCAGCCTGTTCTGTTCACTTTTTTGCACACGGTGCATATGTTTGAACGAGTAAAAGAAACACAAATTTAATTAATAAAAATCTAGATGATAAGATAAACAGCCATTTTCTTCCAAGAAGTTTCTATGTTTAATTAACTTTCCAGTGTTTAATTAACTCAAAATGATAGAGAAGCATATAAACATTAAACATCATTACATTTCACAATATGCTTAGATTACAATTCCAAGTGTCTACAAAAGAAACATAAAAACCTTGAGCATGTGATTTTTACGCTATTTTGAGTATGAAATATTGTTGGACGGCTTTCTACTTAGTAAATCATTTTAATCCAGCAGGTATCATAGAGTATTTTATCAGCTGTTGTTAAACCCTTTCGCAAGTGGGTTTGTTTGCCCGGAAGCGTATGTACGCGGAAGTTGTGTTCGGGGATGAATATTAATAACTACGATGAGGATGTTGATGCATCCTTATTTCAAGTTGAATGAAAGGTATTAGAAAGGATTTTCGAGAATATTGTGGTTACCTGCATTGCAATAGTGTTCCTCAGAATTAATTTCAAAATTAATTACCTTCTAAATATCTTGTTTATCTGAATCCGTGCAAGAAATAATTAATATTTTAGATTGAATGGAAGTTTTCCATTAGTTGAAACCATTAGTATAAGTCGAACAGGGAAGACATACAAAAATTTAAATGT